GCACTACGCACCTTTGCTCTCGAGGTGCCTGGTGCACTACGCACCTTTGCTCTCGAGGTGCCTGGTGCACTACGCACCTTTGCTCTCGAGGTGCCTGGTGCACTACGCACCTTTGCCCTCGAGGTGCCTGGTGCACTACGCACCTTTGCTCTCGAGGTGCCTGGCGTAGTTGTAGTGCGTGGTGCGCAGATGGATGCGGTCGCTGGTGGCGGCCACATGCAGCGCTTTGGTCCAGAGGCCGGCGTCCTGGAAGAGCTTGTTGAGCAGGTCGTGCCGGCCACAGCTGCGGTACAGCTTCTCAGCCTCGTCCTGGGGGTGGGGGGAGAGTGAGGGGAGAGTGAGGGGAGGGCGAGTGGAAGGGTGAGGGGAGGTAGGGACGGACGTTGAGAAAGACGGCAACTTAATACAAACATCAGAGTGATGGATGAGGTCGTAATCTCGGTACTACTGCGATTCTTGGAAAAATGTCCCCATGCCCAACTGACCACCAACTGAGAACATAGTATCATTTTAAATAATGTACTGATGTTTGTACTGATTATAATAATATACATGTTAAATAATGTACTGAAGTACTGTACACATTTATTAATCATGCATGCCAATTGTAAAGTAATTCATAAATGAGAAGTACATATGAAGTAGAAGGCATGATAGAAAACAACATGTCACGTTAAATAATATACTGATGTACTGTACACATTTGTTAATCACGCATGCCAAATGTAAAGTAATTCATAAATAAGAAGTACATATGAAGTAGAAGTAGTTCATAAATAAGAAGTACGATCAAGATTCGAGTATCACTGAGTTGTGGCCAACAATAAAGGTGCGATTGACAGCATGAACGGCTTGTAGTTTTCGAGGTGACTTTTTCAATCGTTCATCATTCATTTTTTTCAGATTTGGTGTGCATTTTTCCCTTTGAATTTTACAGTAGATCTCTAATTCAGACGCCAGGATCGACTGCCGAAATTCTAAAAGTCGCCGAACATGATTTCGGCGGCAGTTCCTCACAGTTTTACTAGGACTCGTGAAGTCAATTCTATACTTACGGCACTGGCTTTACTTACAACTTCACGTACTTTACAACTTTACTTACCTTACAAGTTCAACTACAGTACTTTACAACTTTACTTACCTTACAAGTTCAACTACAGTACTTTACAACTTTACTCACTTTGCAACCCAACTGCACATCTTTGTACTCGCCTGCTTGCCAGTAATGAGCAGCTGTACTGCCTTGTCGTACTGCCTGTTGCTCAAGAAGTACATACCAATAAACTGCACATCTTTGTACTCGCCTGCTTGCCAGTAATGAGCAGCTGTACAGCCTTGTCGTACTGCCTGTTGCTCAGGAAGTACTCCGCACATTTGGTCACCAGCGCGGGGTCGGCGCCCTCGTCCAGGTCCTCGGCGATCTGCGCCACCACGGACACCTGGCCGCTCTTGAACGCCAAGTCCAGCGCCTGCGCGGCCGGGGATAATAAATGTTTACTGATGCACAACTTGATTATCTTAATAAATTCAGGGCCCAAATTAATTGTTTAGATCAACCTTGATGAAGCTAAAATATATAAAATAATAAATGTTTACTGATGCACGAGTTGATTATCTTAATAAATTTTGAGTGCAAATGAATTGTTTAGTTCAAGCTTGATGAAGCTAAAATATGTACAGCATAATTTCAGGAAGCAGATAGAAAGTATAACAAGTTCAGGTTGAGAAACGCAAACAGTTGCCTATAAAATTGTAGTGAACTGCGATCAAAGAACGAAAGCTCGACCTCGTGGATCAATTGTACTATCTACAAGATAAATTACAGAAGTTAAAGAAAAAAATACAAGTTGGTATAACCAGTCACCTTAGCCACACACTACACGTCACTAGTGGTATAACGTCACCTTAGCCACACACTACACGTCACTAGTGCCACTAGTCAACTTAGCCACACACTACACGTCACTAGCGTTGCCACTAGTGACCTTAGCCACACACTACACGTCACTAGTGCCACTAGTCACCTTAGCCGCACACTACACGTCACTAGTGGTGCCACTAGTCACATTAGCATGCACTACAGGTCACTAGTGGTGCCACTAGTCACCTTAGCCACACACTACACGCCACTAATGGTAAAACTAGTCACCCTAGCCCAACACTACACGTCACTAGTGGTGCCACTAGTCACCTACCCCTAGTGACTAGTGGTGCCACTAGTTACACTAGTTATACCCCTAGTGACTACAGGTCACTAGGAGTATAACTAGTCACATTAGCATGCACTACAGGTCACTAGTTTTGCCACTAGTCACCTTAGCCACTAGTCCGGCGCGGTGGTAGAGCGTCACTGCCCGCGCGACCTGCGGACGGTCGCAGGCGACTAGTCACTAGTGGTATAACTAGTCACACTACACGTCACTAGTTCCACTAGTCACCTTAGCCACTAGTCCGGCGCGGTGGTAGAGCGTGACGGCCCGGGCGACCTGGGGACGGTCGCAGGAGACAAAGTAGCGCGCCGCCTCGAGCTGCTCCTGCGGGCCCGCCACCAGCGCCAGGTTCATCAGCTGGTCTGGGGGGGGGGGTTTGTTGATTTTGTTGATTTATGCTAAATAAATTCATTGATACTTGTTGATATTGCTGATTTATGATAAAAAATTATTGATAATCAGTGATCTTGTTGATTTATGAAAAAAATTATTGATACTCGTTGATATTGTTGATTTATGATAAAAAAAATTATTGATGCTTGTTGATTTTCCTGATTAATGCGAAAGAATTCTATTGATGCTTGCTGATACTGTTGATTTATGGTAAAAAGTGTTTTTGTTGCTTGTTGCTGCTGTTGATTTATGGTAAAAAAATTTTTTGTTGCTTGTTGCTGCTGTTGATTTATGCTAAAAAATATTATTGTTGCTCTTACTGCTGAAATTCCATACCTTATTGTTGAATTAGTGGTATTTTGTGGGTATTTTAGTGTCCGTATCGGTGTAGATATTGTTGATTATGGTAGAAATCATTCGATTTTGATGATATTTTGGAGAGTTCATATCGCGGCGTAGATATTGTAGATTATTCTTAAAGTCATTATATTTTGATGAAGTTCATAGAGNGGGGGGGGGGGGGGCTTGTTGATTTTGTTGATTTATGATGAAAAAATTATTGATACTTGTTGATTTATGATAAAAAGTTCATTGATACTTCTTGATTTATGATAAAAAAAATTATTGATACTGTTGATTTATGAAAAAAATTATTGATACTCGTTGATATTGTTGATTTATGATAAAATAAAACTTTATTGTTTTGAATTCCTTGTTGTTGTCCTTGGGAATTTAACATTAATTTAAATATAAGGACGCTTGTTGATTTTCTTGATTTATGATAAATAAAACTTTATTCTTTTAAATTCCTTGTTGTTGTCCTTGGGAATTTAAGATTAATTTAAATATAATATAATTTAATTTAAATTACTCGTTGTCCGTGGGAATTTAAAAATTGTCAAATTCCTCTTGTTTTAAATTCCTTGTCCAACTAAATTCCTTACCTTGTACCTTGTTGTTGAATTCGTGGTATTTTGTGGGTATTTTAGAGTCCGTATCGGTGTAGATATTGTTGATTATGGTAGAAATCATTCGATTTTGATGATATTTTGGCGAGTTCATATCACGGTGTAGTTATTGTTGATTATTGTTGAAGTCATTAAATTTTGATGGAATTCATTGAGGGAGGAAACGAGCGTGAGTTTCAACA